TGGCTAACCATGCAATAAGTATTTTGCAATTACGTCTGTTTGGTCATTATCCATGCAGGCCGAAGAAGCTGAGATACTTATTTATGAGGACATAAACTTTGCATGCAAGAACCTGCAAAGTCCTGAAGGTGCAGTGCTGTCTAATACCGCTGGTTCTGTAATAACCCTTTCAACCATTGAGGTGTTGCACAGAGCATTGTGGTGAAAATCCAGCAAACAAAAGAAGAACTAAGAACTATATGGAAGCTGACATTGTCTTGTTTTCAGCCATATTGCTACCCTTAGCCATTTTTATGGAACAAAATGTCTGGTGTCTAAACTGATTTCTTTATACTCTGTGAAAGACTTATTCTATTTTTCTGAACTATGCTGAACTATTGAACTATTTTTATTTTTATTTTTGTAGAGTTAGCCAGAGAGAGAGGAAGTGTTAGCTGACCCAGGGATGGATGTACAATGTGTGTTTTTGATATATGTTGAGTGTGCCAAGGATGGATTCCCATGTTTTGACTAGACTTTTGGAATAGGGAAATGGTTAAAAGATATAGGACGCAAGGTCCTGGTTGTGCAATAATATAGTTACTATAAGCCCAAGTTCCATTCTGTCTTAAACATCCATTTTCTATATATCTGTCTGCAAAAGTATTAAGTGGTTTTTTTTTTTTCTGCTGAGTTTCTGTTTCTTGTAGTCCACATGATTGCTTGGGAATGCCATAATGTGGAAATTTCTCTGTCTTGGGAGAATGTTAACCGATGATATGAGCAATATATATTGCTCAAAGAGGGGTAACAATTGTGATTATTGGGGCTCAGTTGGATGGAACACCGGGACAGATTGGGGTTATAAGCCACAGAATGCATTAGATAAAAAGGATATGAATGGAAAGTCCCTCTTGACTAGAATGACCCTAACAAAGCCAGGTACATGTACCCCTATAGGGCAAACTGGGCACTCCGTGAAATTTACCTTAAATATTGAAAACCCCAATCCTGGAGATCAAGGTATTTATATTCTTAGTACCTTTTTAAGAGGAGGTATTGGAGGTAATCGATGAAAAATCCAGTTAAAAGATATATGGAACTCCTCAAAATGGGAAAGCCTCACCTCTAGACAAACTCTTGTTAATCCTCTAAAGCCCCACATTCAAACCCTTGGTGATATGATGGCCATAGCAGATCCCACGTTTGGAGATACCATAGCGTTAGAAACAGGGTATGCAGATACAAACCTATGGCTGGAATGGTTGAGATATAATGCCCATTCCAGCAATAGGTCAAACTGTTATGTATGTGGTAGTGCCAGACCTCATCTAGGAACTGTACCTTTACATGTCCCTGATGAGTACTGGGAATGCTTCCTAAGTTTGTTTTCAGGTACTACTGTTAATACTACAGGATGTGAAGAATGGAAAAAGGGTCACCCTATTGGTGAACCCAAGTTTAAATTAAATGATGTTGTCTCAGTATACCCTGGTAATTATACTTGTTTTCAGGGAAATAATAATGGTAAGGTGGGTAAACCATTTGATAACTTTTCTTCAGGATTCTGCTCCGCCTACAGTAATATTACCTTCGTGAATCAAACACAATCTGTGGGAGATGTTTATTGAATATGTGGAGATATGAAAATACGTTCTAGACTCCCCACCCCCTGGAGAGGAGAATGTGCCCCAGCCAAAATAATCATGCTCCTCCATATATTTGGCGACTCTCTCCCTGAAATTAAGGTTGTAACTGATTCCACAAGAAGGAAAAGGGAATCCCCACAAGGTAGTTTCGACCCACATATCTATCTAGATGCCATTGGTATTCCAAGAGGGGTTCCTAATGAATTTAAAGCTAGAGACGAGGTGGCAGCAGGATTTGAATCAATATTTCCCATTATAACAGCTAACAAGAATGTTAACTGGATTAATTATATATATTATAATCAGCAAAGATTTGTAAATTATACACGAGATGCATTACAAGGTCTTGCTGAACAATTACAGGCTACCTCACAAATGACTTTCCAGAATAGAATGGCCCTTGATATGATTTTAGCAGAAAAGGGAGGAGTCTGTAAATTACTTGACTCCGGTGTTTGTTGTACCTATATTACAGAGAACACTGGCCCTAATGGTAAAGTAACCCTAGCTATAAAGAAATTGGAAGACCTGTCCATAGAAATGAAGAGGAATTCAGGTATTGATCACCCAGGGGCAGATATGTTTAAGTTTGACAGTATCCTAGACTGGTTAAAGAATATTGCAATACTTATTGTTATGGTTCTGATCCTTGCTCTACTTGTTTATGCTATTTTCAAGATTATTGTATTCTGCATTTACAAACATACACGCAACACTGTTCCTGTAAAATCCCCTGCTTGCTATGATGAGTATCTCCAAATGTATACACATAACCAAAGCAATGGTGAACATGCTGATACAGATCTATAAGTTTGTGGTACTGGTCAGATGCCTAGTCCTATGCTATGGGAATAGTGGCCGAAGACATAATGAAAGACCTGCAGGATTGGCTAGCAATCCTGAATATAACATGGCAGATGGCTGGTTGTCTGACCAGGACTCCTTAAATAGGGTATGAGCAAGATATTGCTCAAAGAGGGGAAAATGAAGGAATTGAGACAGTTAATCTGTTAGTATTGTAGAAATGAATTATTTTGTAAATGTAGTAGTAAGCTCTTTTCAGAACTGCTTGCAAAACATAACTGAAAGGAAGTCACAAGCTATGACAGTTTCTATGTATCAGGAAATGCCTAACCACAATGTATATGTGATATTTTGTAAGATTAGATTATTGAATGTAACAGCAGAAACTACTTCCTCTTTTATGTATCTTGTGTAACTTTCTGTAACCAATGTTCGTTCCAAATATTGTATAAGTACAGAGCATTTTGAATACATTTGTCAGAAGATTATGGAAAGCAAAGAGTGTGTGTCTGGTTAATACGCTTCCATAAAAATCTTCCCTGAATATTCAGCTGACAATCGAGGGTTGGAGAATAGTGACCAGAGGGACCGAGTCACCAGAGTAGCAGATTTACCTTTCATACACAACACCTGGTTTTTGAATAAAGATTTGAAGAGTTTTTTAATGTGGAGGCCAAAAGATAGATTGGGGTCTAGCAACATACCTAGATATTTGAAGGAGCAGATTATTATTATTATTGCCATTTATATAGCGCCAACAGATTCCGTAGTGCTTTACAATATTTTGAGAGGGGGGATGTAACAATAAATAGGACAATTACAAGAAAACTTACAGAAACAATAGGTTGAAGAGGACCCTGCTCAAACGAGCTTACAGACTATAGGAGGTGGGGTATTAGAAACATTAGGACAGGAAATATCAAGTAGGAGTGAAGCAGAGCTGGAGGAGAGAGCAAAGCACTGTCCCATAGGAGAGAGCGGGAGACAGGTATGTAAGGTTAATCTGGGAGGCCATAAGCTTTCCTGAAGAGATGGGTTTTAAGGCCCTTTTTAAATGATTGAAGGGGAGAGTCTGATGGCAGTAGGCAAGCTACTCCATAGGAGAGGAGTCGCCCGTGAGAGGTCCTGCAAGCGCGAGTTGGCCGTACAGGTGCGAGCAGGGGTCAGGAGGTGGTCACGGGCAGAGCGGAGGGTACGAGGAGGGGCATATCTATGGATTAGTGAAGAGATATAATAGGGGCTATAATTGTTCAGTGCTTTAAATGTATGGGTTAGCACTTTGAATTGACTCCTATAGCATAGAGGGAGCCAATGTAAGGACTGGCAGAGGGGTGAGGTGTGAGAGGAAAATCAGTCTAGCTGCAGCATTCATTACAGATTGTAGCGTGGCAATGCGGCTTTTGGGGAGACCAATCAGGAGAGGGTTACAGTAATCCATGCGGGAAATTACTAGAGCATGGACAAGCTCCTTGGTAGCATCTTGCTACGGTCAGTGTGTTATTTGATTTTGTTCTAATGCATAGATGGGAATTTTGTAATTTATGTAATGTATGTATTGTTCCAATAATCATTGTGATAGTTTATTAACATTGAATTTTTGATTTCCATCCCCTTTGTAAGTTATATATACATAGTTATGTACTATAATTCCAAAAACACCGTACCCAGGATAGAATCTTAATATAATCCATTTACACACATGTTACAAAAAATAAAAATTTCATAAATAAAACCTTGTAGGAGACATTTTTGTGTGCTTGTTTGAAAATCAATGTAGCCACATCTACTTGATTAAGAACAGTGTATGGATTCCATTGAAAAATTGCACAAACAGGTTTCTTAATTTTGAAAAATAGAAACTCAGTCTTTGATAACTTCACCATTGAAAAGCTATTGATTTTAAGAATCAGTGAGTCTGACTTAAAATCATCAATACCTACTAAAATCATTGTAAGCTGACAGGTTAGAAAACTGCCATAATATTCTTCCTCATTATTTAGTGTCTTACATTTTTCTCCATCCAAGCTAAATAAAAAAAAAACAAGACCAGCATAGCTATTAAAATTCTTCACCCTGCTCCGTTAATATAAGATCATTTCAATTGCTGTTATGTTTTGACATGTGATTCAAGCAAGTGTTAGATCTGCGGTGTCTGCACTGGCAGGCTACCTCTTTAATCATGATATTTGTTAAGCAAGTCTTATATCTTCTTTATTTAGTGATTGGGAAACAGTTGTCAGAATAAACCCACAGTGTATATAGCAGCAGCACAGTAGATTGTTAACACCTTAACCCTATCTGCTGCTTGTGGGCTCTGGCAAGAACGAATAAGTGACATGGTAATGGATTGTCAACTTGCTATCCTTCTTGCATCAATCATTAAGCCTATAAACAACTGCACATTGAAAGCTAAAACAGATATATATATGTGTGCATACGCCTACCCAGAATCCCTTGGGGTAGTGAGAGCAATGTTAAAGCGAGATTTCTGTGGCTTGACTGGTATGTGTATTTGTGTTTAGCAATGTATTAACTATCCACTTACTTCAGGTGGAAAGGGGTTTGCATTCACACTTTTTTCCCCACCTCAACTGGATTGGTATGTACTTTACAAGCCTCCATAGCGAGCCAGTAACCAACCTCATGCTGATAAGTTGTATTAACAACAAAACAGCTGTCCATGAATTGTTCACTGGGTTTGCTCCTCTTCCTGAGTTGTGTTTCAAAGATGTTGTGTACAGCAGACAAGGAATCCATGTATAAAGTGGAATTATGAGGCAAAAATGTGGTTCTTTGTTGAGCTCATTTGCATAAGCCTACCCAGAATCTATTGCAGTAGTAAGAGCACTGTTGAAGTGAGATTTCTGTGGGAAAAGTAAGTCTTATGGCTTGACTGGTGTGTATTTGTGTTTAGCAATGTATTTAAAAAAAATAAAAAATATATATATATATATATATATATATATATATAAAATCATTGCTGATCCAGCACACTTACTCAAAAAGTCAGAGCTTACAAAATGTAATAGTTAAAAAAAAAAAAAAAACCCACACCTGATTTAGGGAAAAATAATTGGGATTTAGTTACAGTAAATGATAATACATTGCATGCAATGTGTGTAATTGACCCCAGCAGTGCCCTTTTTGTGTGTGTGTGTGTGTGTGTGTGTGTGTGTGTGCTTTACATTTTTTAATTCATGGGTCAGGAGTAGAAGCGATTTCCAATCATATTTGAAAAAATACAAAAAGATAAGTCCTGCGCTCACTCCCATCACTACTGGGCCGGCAGCAATGACTACAGTACACATCAGCCCCAATATATAGTAAAAACCAAAGAAAAGAAAAAGTTACCTGTGCTCTCTCCTTAATCCCTATGTATATTTAGACAAATGGAGGTCATTTAGTTGATCCAATGGCCATTGGAGGGAATGCCCACCTGCCAACGTCAAGGCAGACCCCCTTAAAGCGGGTCCTACACTGACCCTTCAGCATGCTTCCTTGAGCTTCTGGCAAAGATATCTTTAATGAGACAGAGAGGGGTATTTTTTATATACACCCCTATATCCCAGTACGATTAACTGAGCTCAGGGGTGTCTGCAGGAACCGCTGATGTCCGTAACGGCGTTTTGTGCCCTCTTCCTACCCATTATCCGTCCGACCGCCATACATTTAGACTAGCGCGTGCGCTCCCCTCAATGCACCCATTCGCCTGATTTTTTCTTACGTTTAGATACCCTCTTTCGGGTATTTGATGCGAACGCACTTGGAACCTTGCGTTCACTTTCATGAACCCCTCATTCGGCAGTTTCGTGGGATAATTCTGCTAACGCGTCGCTAACACTAGGCAGGTGTTCGTCTACGCGAACGCTTCTGTTCCCCTCCCTCTCTGGACTTTTTTACCGCTCGCGGCGGCCATTTTAGTGCCTTTCCTGCGTCCTGAAACTAGCACTGCCCCCCAAAGACCGGAACTCAGAGTTGGGGGTTAGTGCTAGTGGCGGTCAGACGGCTCTCTGTCTCTCCGGTATCATTGATTATTCTGTGAGTTAAATATATACTTGTAATTTGCATTTATATTCATAAATTTGTTCTATACTTTAGATTCCCTCCTATGGGTTACTCAACCCTCCCCTACAGGTTTACTACCCACAGGTTTGTTATATTATTTCTGGAAATAATCCTGTCAGTCAGTAGCATAATTATTATGCCTTCTGACAAAGATGCTCCCACACCCTCTGGGTCTAATAACCCCAACCAAGGTAGTTTTAAGGCACCTTCAGGTGTGTCTGATAATATAGCGGTTCCCCCGCTGAGCTTGATACCTCTGCTGATATGCAGACCCTGATAGATAACACTATGTCACAAGCTATGACTAAAGTCCTTATGTCGGCCATGGGACTAATGTCTGACTCAATATCACAGGCAATTACGCATGCCCTGATTCAGGCACAAAAATCAGCTCAACCGACTCTTGCCAAGGTTTTGCCTGTCATGACCCCTTTACAACCTCAGGCTGGCCGCAAGGCCTTGGCAAAGGTGAAACATTCCTCAATGCCACAGATGGACAGCCATACACCTGTTACAGATGGTGCGACTGTTATGGACAGATGAATTAAAATAAAATGGCTATTTACTAATGTCTATTTATTCTCTGTTCACTATGTTAAAACTGGCTTCTAGAGTAAATATTCCCTTCCCCCCCTACAATGTGTTCAGCTGCTGTTTACTATGTAAATTCTTCATCCTGATAAGCATCCCCCTTCAAATCAATCAAACCTTGTGTAACCAAAATTCCTGTGATAACAACTCCCTTTACTAACTCCTCCCCCACTACCTTTGTGCCAGTTAACAGCTATATGCCACGTATAACAAAATGGAGAATCACTGTTAAAGTAAACTGAAAGAAACTACTCACTCCCCCTCCCATCGTGTATCCAGAAGTCTGTAATGATGACACTACATCCTGTAGGGGGGTTTAGACAAGAACCCTTAGACTGTTAACCAATTGGTGAATGTATACTGTATGTTTAAACTGTGACGTATTTTTGCTTTAAGAAGGAGCCCCCACTCCGGGGAATAAAGCATTCCTGGGTTTTTCACTGATCAGAAACTTTGTCTGCGGTGTGAATTACTTCTAGGGAAAGCGTGCACGCATTAATCAATCAATTTGGAAGGTGTAGATAGACAAATTATCAAAGTTTTCTTTGATCTATAACATTTGGCGCGATTTTGAACAGGGACAAAAGGGATACGTTAATAAGGAAGCCGTGAAATCCCAAGACAGGAGAACAGAGGATTCCCAGAGATTGGAAACGGAGCCTGATCACCTCTGCATATGGTAAATGAGTTACTTACCTATATTTTCCTTTCTTTGGATTTCTCTTATTCTCCGTGCCTTCACATTCGGCTTCCGGTGGTTAACGTCTTCAGACAGGTAATATATATATGCCCGAATGTCCCCTTTTATATAGAACCTGTCACTTGTCTATCTACAGCCTGAGTCCTGAGTGTGAGTTTTATGTGTGAAAGTGTCTGTTTTCTGAATCTATTTTACTTTCTTTTGATTATTGATGTCGGGTTCACCTGGCGATTGAATTCAGGGTGCAAATATACCTGGAGTTTTTAGGCCAGATTCTATTAATATTTTAATATT